AAGTTCCCTTCTCCAAGGAGCTCTGCAAGTACCGATATAAGGGTATTTAGAGGGGGACGGTGCATTCGTGAGATCCGAGCTGCGCGTGGCAAATTGCGCGGCGAAATTCGTGGCGATTCGAACAACACAGGCGCCTACTATTGGGGACAAACTTGAAGTAGAGTAGTTTAGTATGGTCAGCTGATACTACTAATCTATATACTTCAAATTCGGGCCCCAATAACAGGCGCTAAAGAAAGAAAGAATCGTCACAATCGCTATAATTTCGCCGCGCAATTTGCCGCGCGCAGCTCGAATCGCACGAATGTACACACACCCGTATTTAGACGGCGCGAAATCAGAGTTCTCTGGTGAATCTGCACTGATTTTTAACCAAGACCGCCAACCGCGAAAACGGGCGTTGTCTTGCGTCTACATACTCGTCTGCAATGATTTATCTAGTTCACGCCTTCCGGAATCTTTTTTTCAACGAAACCAATTGAGTTCAATTATCTTCAGTAGGGATGGGTTGGTAAGGGGTCTCAAGTGTTCTGAAGTTTAACTTCCTGATCTTAGCAAGTTGTGGAAATTTCTCTATTGCTGAAGATTCCATGATTTGATGATTCCATCTGTCACGTTTGTGAGCAGAAGTATGAGTTCGACTGTTTTTACCTCAAAGTTTTAAGCAAAGGACTTACTTCATTGCTAGGTTTTGCTTCGATTTCGGCCTAAATCTCTGTGTACATTCAAGGACGATGCAAGGAAAGAACACGAGTTACCTTGTTATTGAAGTAGAAATACAGGAACGCACAAATAAGAATTGCAACGATAGCTAATGCAGCTGACATCACTTTGTCAGGCACGGAGTAAGACTGAACGTTGCTCATACTTATTTCACGATGTATCCTTATCAGTATCATTCATAAGCGAATGCCTTATTTTTTATCTAGCTCATTTAGAAAGATTTGAAGATAAGGTAAGAAATGAGAAGGTGCGCTAGCAAACGCGCTGGTAAGTGATCAAATTCCGGATAGATACCCGTTGACCAATTGGCTATCATCTCTTTGAAATCTATCAGATTTAGTAGGTAGATATAAGGAGTGACTTATACATTACATTAGTTTGTATTACTGGCTTGGTGTGGATGACGTTTGGCTTGAGCTAGGCATACATACCACTCAAGCCAGACGTCCCCCACACCAAGTCAATATTGCCAACCAATGTGTAAGTGCCACCCTTTACTCATTGAGGCATGCCGAAGAAATTGGAACAGGAGGTAATGGATGGTTGAAGAGCGTAATGTACAGGTCGAACCTGTGTTTGATCCGTGAGACTACTGCAAAATGCTCACCGCGCGCTGGCGCTAGCAGCCGCAAATATGGGACTGAAGTGCTGGTCTTGAGTCAAATACACTATTGCGATTCTGACTGGAAGTCAAAGTGTAGGCACATCCCCTAAAAGGATCAATCATCGCTGAGGAATCTTGAACTTTGGATGGAGAAGCTCTATAACTCACAGTATCCATGGTGATGGTTGGATCTCCGTTGGACTTGATATTTTTGCGTAGTTGACTTTACTGTTTAACCAGACCCGAATTTGATCCAATTCTCGGTTCCCGATCGTATGTGCTGCGCTGGCGCGGGTGCGCTTCATTGCGCGCGTCCGTCGAAACTAGGTCACGCCGCAGCCGTCGCACGCGGCAAGTCAGCCTGCGATATTGACGGACGTCGCAGTTGTCAGTGGGGCATACGATTTGCGCTTGGTCCACGGCAGTCAGTTCAAAGAGAAGATAACACAGAAGAATGCAGATCATTCGCTCCACTGACACGTGGTGATACTGTAATGTCATCTCGAGACCTCAGTGTGGTGCACCGCGCGCGAAGTGGGCGGGGTGACCTACTTTTGACGGATGCACGCAACGGACGTTCTCCTGCTGGCGCCTATCTTCACCCTAACATGGTAACTGCGCGTCTACTCAAATGAAGGGAAGAAGTTGCATTTATTTCAATGAAATGCATTGGTATCTACAGGGGTTTCAATGGATCCTAATTTACTGCGCAATCGGTGCATAGCTGCGGCGTCAGTGACAGTAGTTATATGCTGTTATTAACGGTGCTAATCATCTAAGCTCGGATTATCATTTTCATTTGATCTACAGGGTGACCGTTGTCACGGGGAGTGCTAGGAAAATTAGCAGTAGCCGGTCTATACTGATGGTATGTTCCCTTAAATATCTTTCATGTAGTGAATAGGCAGACAAGAGGGTTTCATCGAATTCGAAAGTTGGATCAGTCATACCTAAAGCTTCTTATGTAAGCTCTCTATAGCGCAAACAAAAGACAAATTCAACAAAGAACCCAAACTATTAAAATTGACCTCTCTTCAGACCCGGTGGGTTTCTGCCTTTTGAGAGGAAAAACGCAAAAACTGTAAAACTAAGCTTAACTTTCTTTACTGGAAATTTATGAGAAAGAAAAGATGATTTCGCCTTCATTAAGAATAAGATCTCTGCAACGTAGATTATAAGATGCGATATCTATCAAAACGGCTTTGACGGTCCGGTTTACATCGGGTAGTCCTATTTCGCACCGATGCAGACATTCGATAAGAAAAGGCTCGCTGAATGGTAAAGTTCATGTGCACCCTTTCTGTTTGGCTCTGAGTTTCTGGCCAATCAAGTTAGAATTGATTTTTCTCGACAAGTCGTTCTCTTTAAGTACCACTATTGCTGATTTATGAAGTAAATTTATGTGTACTTAAGCGGCTGTAAAAACAAAACAATACGGCGAGTGCTTTCATATTATTGTTAATGCATAGGGACATTTACCCAAAAATAAAACTCAAGCGGTAATATACTGCAAAGTTAATACTGATACTGGGTCATGTAATCTGAAAGTCCTAATTGAAATGCGGCTCAATCGGTTAACTTTAGTATACGCCGTGAAGTCGTAATGGCTTGTAATGCGTTCACCGACACATGCCAAGGGGGAAGAGGAGTGCCAATTTTAACGTCAACGACTTTCTTGTGGTGGTCCACTCTAATAATAATAAATTACCCTGGGAGAATCAAGCGTGGTTGGAGAATGACTCTGGTGTATGGCAACCCCAAAACCGTTTTCTCCGTAATTTTCTCATAATACACCTTTGAAAAGGGGTAGTTACCTTCTACTGGCGCTCTGCTAAATACAGTAGTCAAATGAGAAGGCAGCCATTTCCGAGTCCAGAATAGCAGGCGAGAAAAGGAGTTTTTGGGTGGAACCTCAGATGGCCCCACGTGTTTTGTGTGCGATCGGCTGGACGAGATTTTGTTCGTGCGTACAGCTAAAGTCTCAACAATTCAATAATGGTCTATAGATTATCAAATGTTCCCTTGCTTATGAGATAGGATTATCCTCACTACTCGAGCTGTGAAAATGGCAGATCTACCAGGATCATGGGAGCACACTGTGTTTGTTCTCTCACAGTGTCTATTGTTTGTTTTTACCCTTAACTGTCAACAGAGGCCTTCTGTGAGTGCAGACATGTAATAATAGTGAATAAGAAAATTCGTCACCGGGTATAAATATCGTTTTAAAAAAAGTTAAAAACCGATTTAATTATATGTTTAACTATTACAGATATAGTAAAACGATTTTCTATCCTATATTCAAGTGCATATCACCTGGAATGTTCCATCGTACAGTGACGTGACCAGTGACAGAAACTTGATCGTCGCGAAACTCGTTCTGATATCGACGTTCTGGTTGTTTCACTAAATGCTTCTAGCCTTTCGATTCTACGTGTTTTTGTTATGTATCCGAATTACTGAACTATGTCAGCCTAAAAAGGCTGAAGTGACTCCTGAGGTACCGACTCCTCCTAAGATACCGACTCCTCCTGAGGTGTGTAATTTAATATTTTAATATACCAAAACTGAAATAACTTTATGAATTTGAAGTGAATTTTTGGGTACAGTAATTGAAACGTTCCATTTAGGCCCAACAGGAAGACTCGCTGTGTTACGCATGTAGTAACTTCCTTAGTCAATTTCAAAAATCTGTGCCAGTTAAAGTGGAAGCAGTGCTGAATGGAACCCGAGATTTTGGTATGATTCACTTTTACTATTGTAATAATATCTGTCTTTATTCGAATATGATGATTTTTAGCTCGATCATACATACCCTACTACAGCAACGTAGGGGGTTACGTAGATGATTTTGCTATCAGAACTACTCGTGGATTTGTGGAATTACTTTGTGGAACAATTCATCCACGGTGGTTATGTACACAATTTTTGATGTGTTAACTATATTGTTTGTATAGTGTATAACTGATAAATACTTTATAAAAATGTCAGAGAATGTATTTGCATTGGTGATGTCATGCAAAGGGCCGGCCTACCCTGCTTCCCTCGTTGGTCCAGTCAGAGTCAGACGAACATGTGCCCTATGCTAACACAAGAGATAGTCGCATGGAAATAGGAAAAAAGAAGAAAACTCGGATACCGGACGTCTTGCAAGCTAAACGTCATCGAACACTCGTTCTCCAGTTGTATTTATACCTACAATTAGCACTGTTTACTATATATCATTTCCTTTTTTGAATTTAATTTCTGATTGTTTCTTGTGCCTGATTCTCCGAAGTAGTAATAGGAATGTTTGACACGAAGGGGGAATGTAGGAGCGAAGGAAGGTAGGAAAAAAGCAGCGCATTATTGATCCATACTACTGCTAATCGTAAATTAACACGTATTAGTCGCAGGGTAGTCACGAAGAACACACGTATTCTATGTATTATAAACGTTGCCTCGGTGATTTTTCACGGCTAGTACTACGGTAGGAACCTGGTTACTTCTAAATATTGGTTTTTGCTCCTGACTTTCACCGCTCCAAATTGAATTCACTGAAAAGTTGTCCTGACGTTGTGATGCAATCTTGGTCTTCTGACGAAACCTTCTCGGCCAGAGAGTGAAATTGTAATTTTTCTACAAAACTTATCTCTAAACGTTTACGGTTCTCAATTAAAAAAAGCCGTTTTCTAGAAGGTTATGCCAATCAGTATTGCAATAGTTATACAGAGAAGAGCCTGGTATTGGCTTGCTCCTGACGCTTTTTTCCGTTCCGGTCGTCTCTCCGAAAATGAACCACAAAACGCGCTCCATTTTGAATATATGCGTATTACAAACTAGTAGTTTTTGAAAACGGCAAAGCCTTAATGTTCGAGCCTATTGTTTGGTATTAAATTCTTATTTTCGTCATGATCTATTGAACAGTTTAAGTATCGCAAATAGTAATTCTCGAAGTGAGCAGTATACACGACTACTTGACGCGAAAGCCACTAAGGTTTGCTGTAGTCCAATGATCTTGTGAAGTGGTTTGTCGCTGTTGAAGAAGGGCTCCTCTACATTGTTTACCGTTGGATTTCTTTCCTGCTTCTGTATTGTTGGGTATTGCTAGCGCTCAGTCTGACCTCGATCTTCCCAGTTAGAAAACCCCTCACTCAGAGTGGATCTGATTAGATTTATCTTTCAGAACAAAGCCTAGTGATGTGATTGAATGCTTAAATGACCCTCGTAGTTTGGATACTATTCGAATTGCTCGTATCACATTGCATTGGATCGAATTTATGTCCATAAATATAAAAACAGCGCATTGAACAATGCTCATCCATGTGGGAATAGAGCTTTGTGTAGTGATCAACCACGTGGGAGTAAAGGATTGAACAATGTCCACCCGAATGAATGTGGAGAATAGATTATTTGTACTTTTTCAAGTTATTCGTCGTGAAGGCGGTAGAATGGCATTTGCACTTGCAATATTCCAATGAATTCGACTGTTTGATGTCATGCCTAATTAAATATTTGATGTACTCGGAGGCGCTCTCCCCGGTGAAATGTAGCACGGGAAAAGTACACGGTTTGATTGTTGGGTGTAGAGAAAAAATCTCGGTTGAAACTCTGTGGAGAAGAGATCTTCTCTCCCCACTCATAGGTTATTAAACTATTATCCACTACTGCTGTGGCCTAACGTCGTAAGAACGTTGACCAAAATTAATTGCACAATCGAGCACGCAAGCACATTGACATTACACCGAGCCGGTGCGTCATCGCCTCGCACTACGCTCGATATCGCCATTTCACATTTCTTCTCTCCTCTTGCAACCATTTAATCGTTTTTCTTTCTTCTTGGAGTCATTACATTACTCATAACCCANTAGGGAAAAAATCTCGGTTGAAACTCTGTGGAGAAGAGATCTTCTCTCCCCACTCATAGGTTATTAAACTATTATCCACTACTGCTGTGGCCTAACGTCGTAAGAACGTTGACCAAAATTAATTGCACAATCGAGCACGCAAGCACATTGACATTACACCGAGCCGGTGCGTCATCGCCTCGCACTACGGTCGATATCGCCATTTCACATTTCTTCTCTACTCTTGCAACCATTTAATCGTTTTTCTTTCTTCTTGGAGTCATTACATTACTCATAACCCATTTCTTGAAAGTTGCATGATAAGACCTTTTAAAAAGCAGAGAGAATCGGATAAAGGCAGCTTGAAGGCAAATGTCGTGGATGAGTTGACGTCTCTCTTTCATCTGTCGCTATTTTTTGTAGTTCTTTTTGTTCCTCTGACACCTGATAAGCAGTGCACTTGTCGAGCAGGTCGTCGAAATGTGGTCGTTGGACTGGGAAATGGACCATGAGAGCCTCATAAGCGCCGGTGGAGCACTGCAGAAACTACGAATGTATCCATATTTTGATATCGCTCACTACTTGCTGGTTAGTTACTATTTAAAAAAGTATTTGGTCTAAATACCTAGTATTTCCTTTGCAGTGTTCTGTTTCTGTTTCAGTTTTAAGCGGTGCAGTGTTTTTTTCTACTGTTGTTTACATTTTGATGGCTGGCGAGTTAGTGTTTGCAGACCATATTGCTACAGGATTCCAACATCAGCTACGACTATGTTGTGTCATGGAAAAGCCAATGAGTTGGGGGGAGGGGAGTTCGTAAACTTCGTTTGTTAAGCGAAATCTTAAAATCACTAAAGATCAGCTAATTTTTATGACAAAGGGAAATCCGTCATGGGTACTTCCACAAATACAATCTCGCTTTGTACAGTTTTTATGTAAAACTCAGATCGTCCGTGACTCCTTTATGTCCCGCCTATCTGCGCAGGTTGTAAATCGAAGAGAGCCACCCTACCTGACCTCGAGTTTTGAGTTAGAAGCAGTAACAATTCGTGACAACCTTCTAGTCTTAAGTTTCTAAGTGTAGCAATTGTGGGCAAGATATGGAGTAAGGACGCTGGTGCTTGTTCCTTTTCTTGTCGTATATTTCCTTTTTGCCTTGGTGTTCATTATTTTTGAATACACATTTTGGAACAAAGTGCACTTTTCGAATAAGCTTTTCAACACAAAATTGGTCAATCATCTTTCGCACCAACTTATTTGAAGATCTTTCTTTCTTTCCCATCTTTCAGATTATAGAAAAAACTATTCATATGTTTTCAGATGTGTGAGCATGTTCGTTGGGAATTGGGAGCAAGTGCCATAGCCTTCTCACGGCGCCATCCGTTCTCTTGTTGGTTGTCTTCTATGCTTATGTGCTTCGCTGGCGGACTTCTAGCTTGTTTCCTACTTGGGGAACCCGTCATTACGCCGTTTCGGAGGCACGACGATGTTGTTTTGGTTGGTTTTACTTCGTTCCAGTAGTGATAACGATTTTTTGACATTATTTAATAGTTGCTTGACAACATAAACACTGTGGCTTTTATTGCGCTGCATTGGTGGAAAGAAATTTTGGTTGTGACGTATTGCAGGCTTCTATCGTGTGGTATTCTGTTTTCTACTCACCTTTCGATTTAGTTCACAAAATGCTGTGCTTCAGGCCTGTGAAAGTTTTGGTAAGCGTTGTCAAAGAAGTACAACGAGCTCACAAGGTAAGGAGGTTTATAATATTCTTCTTTCTTCAGTTCTATTAAGAAGCTTTGAAAGAAATTTCGAGTGTTTTGTTGTCACTCTCGCGCTTCATAATGGTGTCGAAGAGTAAGTAGCCGTTGAAAAGTTGAGTATGAGAATGTTTCAGATCTCGCATGGTGTCGCTTATGCGACGAAATTATATCCAGAATCTTACATGGTACAAGTATTGGTGGGTGTTTCGAAAGGATGTGGGTCAGGAATCGTAAAGATTATTGAGCAAGTGGGTGCCCTTTCTATCTTCCATTGATGTTTGGCAGTTATAGAAACCGTCTCTTGGAAAATTGACATCCAGTTGCGATCGTTTTTATCTATTGAATATTACATTTCATCTTCCGAAAGTTGGATTTGATTTTTCTGTTTTGAAACCGAAACCACATCGGCATCAGTTTTGATGCTGATATGTACTTATTGCAATTGTTCATGCACACTGTGTTTAGCTCGTGAGAGGTACCTGGATTCCCTCACAACATGAAATGTTACGCCCGACATTTACAACGAAGGCATGTGTAGTAGCTTCATTAGTATTTACCTTAGAAAGGAATAGTATGTATGTTACGGCTCCTCAGGATCTCGTTTATTTGGTGAGTCATCAACGTTATCAGCAATCTAAATTACATTTTATTTGACTATTCTGTTTTGCCTTTCAGTGTGTTGTTGCGTTTTTCGTCTATTTCAAACTATCTGCTTTGCTTCTCGGCGTCGTTGATCCCTTTGCTCCTGTGGAAAATCTTTTCTGCGCAATCTTCATGGGAGGAATTTGCGATGCACTCTACAAGTATATATTGACGTTTATCTTTTGAATTCTGTCATCTTCGATTTAAGATTTTTATTGAAAATTCTGCTCCAAAACTTTCCAAGCCGGCTTGCGCGCTAATTGAAATCGGCCACAGACCAACAACTTTGAATAAATCAAGTCAGATCCTCGTCGTTGCCGATACCCCCCCCCCCCCCCCCCCCCCCCACTGTGTAGTTTGATGTAGTAAGCCTTAACTGTTGCCGCTAAGAACAGTAACAAGTGAAACACCACAATATCGTAACCGAAAATGGGGCTTTCTGGTAGCTGTGCTGCACAGGTTGCTCCTTTCCTGCAAGTAGAGCACAGAGCAGTTGTGCTCCAGTGCCTGTATTTTATGTATTGATCTATAAGTCGCGCCGCTATTTAGCACTGATTGATGTGTTGCATTTTGCAAATCAATATGCGATTACACGTGTAGTTGTTCTGGGTTGTAATGATGGCGAACGTTTTGACAGGGAACAGGCTTACTCGTATTTTTATGTCAATGGGCCCATTTCCAAGAACTTCGATCATATTTCAATCTTAAAGTTAACGATTTTCATGACTACTATATTGAAAGAGTCTACCACTGTTCAGAGCAGTAGATGCGACCAGGGAAGAGGCGACGGCAGGAAAGAAAAAACTTGACGACGATCTCGTTGATGATAAAAAGTGGAAGAAGAACGATAAAAAGGCTAAATAACCTTTGTCGAATAATTTGAAGTTTGTCCTAGTTCGAAGCTTGTTTTACATTTCTATGCTGTAGTTTGTAGGCAGAAACGACTAGTCATTTGATTTGTCTTTCACAGTTTCGTGCGAAAAACTTACTGATACTTGATTGCTACGTACTTGTCCATTTTCCCATTGCTTTATGTAAAGTAGTAGGTCTCAACCAAAATCATGTGTGATGAGCTTGAATTGAATATGCTTGGCATTTTCCTATTCGCGTTGTTTGTTTAATATGTGATTCAGTATACATCTAGTCATACGGATTTCCATGTTTTACTTTATTCAGTGCTTTGTTTTGTGCAAATATTCACAGCTTTACTATGCTCAATTGTGGAGCTCTCATTTAAGTATAACCCCTCGTTTGCTGTTTGTGGTGTTTGAATTGTTCTTACGAGTCCGTTGTGATACTCTTACTTTTGCTACTGTGGGCTTTTTTTTAAGATTGTTTTACTACCGTTGGGTACTTCACCCCTAAGAAGATTGAAATAAATGCTTTTTATCTATCGGGAAGCAGCTATAGCTGATATCGTTCAGATAAATATCTCTTTTACATGTGTTATGTTAACTCAGCGAGGGTGGTTATCTTTGATACTATGCATAGTGAACATTTTTTACCGTAACAAATTTACAAAGGTTCGACCAGCTCTGAACAGATTTGAGCCTTAGATGTCATCTCGAATGTGTTTTTATGCAGAGTAACTACCTAGCTCAGGTGACGCTTTTACATGCTGCGTAAGTACGCTGCAGATTGTGAGATCCACGTAGGTTGTGCACCGGCATCGTCACAGTCATATTATCTGTGTCGATTTGACGTAAGCGGGCGTGTCCAACTCAAACGCTGTGTGCTAGCTCAAAATATGAAAGTAACCGTTCTATTGGCTGCTTTCAGACTTCGACGTCCGTCCGTCCGTTCAACACCTGCGGCAGCGGTCGCGTGCGTGCCACGACCGCGGTTCTAGAAAGGTGTTGACAGCGCTGGCACGAGATGTAGTATTGCCAACACCCTTCTGAAACCGCCGCCGCGACACGCACGTGACCGCTGTCGCAGCTCGCGTTGACACGTTGGCTCGGCACGCACGTCGAAGTCTGAAAGCGGCCATTGTGTCTCAAGCGCCTTTTCCCACTTGTTCATAATGTCATCAGAATGCCACACTGCCTTATGTGAATTGAATCTCTGTATACGAAACGGGGCAATATTCTAGACGGAAAGGACACAAGCCGATTTCAAACTTCAACGATGCAACCTACAGAGTTCTGTCCATGCGTGCGTCCAACCGACGGCGGCGCTAGCCACTTGCTGGCGATATTGGCACGTGATCCATCGGCGTCCAGGGTTGTCATCATATAGCCAGCAACACTGTCAGTCGGTAGGACGCACGCACGGACGCGCAAGCGGACGGACTTTCGTCGGTTGCGCCATTGAAGTCTGAAAGCAGCCGAGCGGGATTTCACAAATTCACAGACTTGGCGTCCTTGGCCGCCTTGGTTTTTCGCACATGGATTAGATCTCTCGCATTTGGGAATTAAAATGGGCCCGCGCCACATGTTGAGGACCTGGAAAACTTCGCGAAGTGTCCCGAAAAAATTTCGCTTTTCTCGCTCCGACATTATGCTAGCTTATTTCATCTGTGTGCGTGGGAGGTACCTTCGCTCGTTGTAGTACTTACACATGAATCAAACTTTCAGACAATGTTGGAAACGATGAGAGGCAGAAATCGGTCTGCTGGTATTGAAGTAGTTGAACCAATATGTCCAGGTGAGTTTCGGTGATATATTTCATTGTCCATAGAATTCGTGAAGTTAGCGTAGTTATAATACATGAGCCTTGCCACACTGCAGATTTTAATTTATCCTATCGCTGAAATTATTGACTTAAGGCGACATCGGATATTCGATTCGATGCGAATCTGCTGATTTGTTTGTTCTTTTGCGGTACACTCATTGATTTGGATGAAGATATTTACGCAGTGCCGAAACTAAGGTATTTCTTCAATTTCGTACGACTTTCATAGAGTGCATTACCTCCAATTGGTTTTACCACAGATCGTTGTTTAGTTAAGCGACCAAAAATGTGAGCAAATTTTAGAGCAGTTTTCTGTTTCTTTTCCATAATGCTTGACTTTCCTGAAATTCAAAGTTTACTGTCATTGATTACATATAAGTAACATGCGCCTTCAGACCTACGTCAAATGTAGGTGCACTGCAGTGTGAATTTGCTTCTCTGTGGTTATCCTCCGTGTCTCGAGATGGTGTAAAGTGTGGCGGCAGCCAGTTGAGGCTCTACACCGCTCGAACGCCATAACAATTTTGACTCCTTTTTCTTTCCGAAGTACTCTTGCGTCAATGACTCGATTCCATAGCATAACAGATGCTAGTCCCTTCAAGATTTTGACTGATTCCATTCTCTTTCTTATGCTCCTTTTGTAATTGATGATATTTTTAGACGAATTTGTTGAAAAAAAGCAAGAGAATCGAGAAAACTTTCATCATTGCGAACGTGTTCTTCCCTCGAGTTGTGTTTTAGTTGGCTATGAAAGTGCTCAAAAACTGACTTTTAACGATTCCCAAAATCTTTTTCACCCATTTTCGCGTAGTAATACTGGACAATAGTGCCCGAAGGCCAGCACCGCAAACCTTTCTTCGATTTGTTTCCTATCCCGCCTTTAAATTTGGTTCCATTAGTGTACTAACCCACGTTTTTTTTACAAACTTGGATGCGCCATACGGATCGCTACTGAACCGAAAAGAAAAATATTCAGATTAAAGTAGTACCTCTAGGCCCTTCTGTTAGCTAAAGTATGTAAACAAGGGTAATCCATAAGGACATTTTCCTCAGTGTTTGCTGACTACTTGAACGAACGCATTCACATCTTATTCGATTTTTTTCTCCACGAGTTATAGATATTTCTGTAAATACTTAAAAAATAGATTTTCAGACTCTTTTTCACCAAATTTTCGATCGATTGACAACTCTATGACACGTCGAAACGTCGCAGAGCTTTCTTTGTATCATTTTCTGCTTACACATTTAGCACTGGTACTGAGGCAGTAATGTTGGTGGGAAATGCTGTTCGCATTTCTTTGCAGTGAAGGGCTCTTCCCTGACTCCTATCGATATTCCTCAAACATCCTCTTCTTTCACTGAGCCCTATTCTTCAATCCCATTTTTTAGCCTATGAAACCGGCCCTCCAGAATGAGCGTAATGCACGCTCATTCCGATGATCATACTTTTTATGTCATGGGATAATGTACAAGACTTATGAATACGGGGACCAGATGCTTCATCTGAATATGTATTTTGTAATCTCATAAATTTGCTAACCGTCTTCAAATTATGGCTCTAATTGGAGCGTCGAACTGGGCCCCGTTTGGGGATATGGAACTCAAGGCAGCCAATGATACGTGGAGTTCCCCGCCTGTGTTATTGATCTAGTTCATGAAATGGTTCCTGTGATTTTTTTAAATAACCTTTGCTTGAACTAGATTGTCGTTGAGTCAATAGCAGCTGACGCATTGTGACATCCTGTCAACTACTTTTCAGTAATGCCACCCTCGTAATTAGTGTCCAAACTCTAACAGTACATGTCTGTCTCTTCAATTTATCTGGATTGTGCTATACTCGCTTTTTTATTTCGAATCCTGGTTTTCAAAACAGCAGGAGAAACATGTGTTCGTTATTTTTTTTGGTTTCATTTTGAGCAGTTGCAGTCATCTGTTTTGTTTTCTCTCTCACTATCCCTACTTGTTTTTGCTAATTTTTTTTCATATAATAAGTGTTTACCGTAAACCCGCATTTTGCACTATCATATCTTTTCTATTATCTTGTTTTTTTTTTGATTTGTCTCACGCGATCGCGGTTGATTTGGAAGCACATCATAGGAAAGGGTATAGTCTGTTAAGTGAAAGCGTAACCTAACCTAGAGAAGTGGGCAAGTTTTGTCAACTGTGCTACTTAAAAGTAATTAATTTATCCGTTATTATGTACCCGAGGTGCTCAAAACCAGCAAAACGAAAGTTAAAAGTTGGCATAATTAACGAATATTTTTGAAATAGTTTTCATCGGTTTATACGAGCCAGCATGGATATCCCTTTTTTTTCATTGAAAGGCACAATTTCGTTCATACGCTCATGTACGAAAGTGAATCGTGTTCTTCTTAATTCTTCGTCTCAAGATAATTTCCTAAAGTAGCTTAATTAAGATGGACGACTCTGGCTTTTTCTGCCATGAAAATCTGCTTTTGCAAGCCGGCTGGCAACTGTTATCTGCGTAGGTTGTAGCGCTCAGCCAGCCTCTCCAGCACTCTTGATTGATTCATGTTCTCATTCCTTACTTTTTCGCAGCTCCACTCTTTACTTTCGCCAAACAAGTGGTCTAAGCTAGAGGGTGGCACAGTGCTTCCCTCGTGGTTGTAATTCTCACACACGCGTTTAATAATGGAGTCGTTCAGCCTTCTATATTTAGCAGACTCGGTCTGACTTTTTTCAAGTTTATGATGAAATAAGGGTATAAATAGTAATTCATGCATCCATGGCTCCGT